AAAAGACCTGAGAAGAGATATTTTCGAATTAGTCATGTCCTTATGCTAATAAGTAACTTGCAAAAAAGATTTTTCTTCAACTCGTCTGCAAAAATCTCCAGCCAAATCTATTTCGACTTCATATGACCGCATTTTTTTGTTGTGTAATAAAATAAATAGAAGAACTAAACAGTTTAGTTCTAATCATTTTGAATAAAGCGTATTATTTCGTTGTGTGAAAATCGGTTACAGTTTAAGTCTCATACAATGCACGTTACAGAAGTTTGAAAAGTTATATTGCAACTCGTTTCACAAACACCTCAAATTTACAACTCGCTTTTATTAAACGTCACGTTGCTCATTGCTTTTTCAAATAGTTGGCTGCAATACAAATAAAAGCTGGTGAAATGAAAAATTACACTTTACGTCTCTCTACGGCACATGTGGCAACACCATCAGTACCTATATCTTTTGTCACGAATAGCAACAGCAAAGAACACCGTTCCTATGTTTATATGTCGTTTACTCAAGTGAAATGCACTCTTACTTTTTTATTTCCTACGGACATCATTAAAAGAAAAGAATATCTGAATATATAGATGAATATATGGTCTCGCGAATAAGAAGTAACGTGCATCATTCTGATGCACTGCGTGCTATGATTGGACATCTACCGTCTCTTAACAGGAATATAGAATCAGTTTTATGAGTACATAAATGCAAGCAGTTGTGTTTATGGACAATAAAAATACTTCTGTAACGTGCATTGTATGAGACTTAAACTGTAACCGATTTTCACACAACGAAATAATACGCTTTATTCAAAATAATTAGAACTAAACTGTTTAGTTCTTCTATTTATTTTATTACACAACAAAAGAATGAGAAAAAAATGCGGTTAATGATTGAAACGATCCGTGCTAAGGTCCGTCGACTAATGTCTTGAAATAGTGCTTTAAGTGAATTTATCGGAAAGGAATAATAATAACTTAAACTGTCGGTTTAATATCTTCTTTGGGGCAATGTTATCTTGTTATGACAATTGTAACATTCAATTTCTTCTTCTGGTTCAGTTGCCAATCCCCGTTTAGCATTTATTGGTAGAGATGATGGTGTCGAGCTATACGATGATACTTGTGGTTCTTGATAACCAACTGTTGTTGGTACCTTTGTTTGGAGTGGTATTCTGTTTTCCGGTATTGCATTGGAATGACCACGAACTTTAACAGCTGTTACTATATAGAGTATAATGTAAATAATTGCTAGGACTAACATTAGCACTGCACCAGCCAGTTGTCCTTTCAGTATAGGTACTTTCAGGTTATAAATATCGCTGGTACTGGCAAGGAATGACCACGAGGTATATGTAGTAGACGATGAAGAGGTACACGTATATGTACCATAAAAGCATAGAAATGGATTTGAAAGAAAAATAATATCGATTACAAGTACACAGATGGCTAAACAAAGACAGATGACCTGCGTAACTAATGTATATGTCGTACATCCTCTTCCTTTACAACAAACTATAATTAAAAACAGAATTCATGTTAGAGTATGCGTGAAAATATAGTCGCTTACTAACTATATACACTTACGGGAGCCATAAACAGAAATCCAAGTAATTGTGAAAAATGCACCTGCCCAATAACCAACGAACAGCATTGCATGATAAAAATCAACAATCATACTTAGAGTTTCACATGCCAAAATGCCGAATGTCAGAAACATTTGACAAGTGCCAATTAAAGCTGCAATACCACGAGGAAATGTTTTCCTCCACATTTGCTGTCGAGGTGTACGACCGGGCACTGCAATCATTACCGGTCGTCCTGTCCATGGCTGTACTGGTTGCATTTTATCAAATAGATTTAAAATCAATGAAAGAAATCTAAGAGCAAAACGTTGTAGTGGAAAAATGAATTCATTAGGCTGCGCTAGCAAAATGACTTTATCTTATCGAACACAATTTTTTCTGAAGTTTCTAATCAAATCATTTGAAATTCTAGATAGTATATGAAAAAGAGGTGTTATAAAAGCATTTTTCTAAAAACAACAGTTACTCTTTTGGACTGTTTCCTTGTTGGTTGACAACAGAGCAAAATAATATTTTGACGACTTAGTCATGTAATGTCCCACGGGAATATTTTGCCACTTATTTGTGTTGTTATGCTAGACAAATTTATTTAAAAGACGGGACTGTACGATGCTAATGTTTCTTCACTGAATGAAAGAATAGAAAGAGACTCGGTATTGTCCCCCAACACCAATGGAAATTTCATAGTTTCATAATAATTACTAAAATAATCGTAATAAAAACATCAGACACTTTACGCTTTCCTTCGCAAGGCTATAAAGTAAAATAAGAGAATGAAAATAAGACACAGAGTGTGTATTATATCTTTCACTCATTAAATTTCAAATATCCTTCTGCAAGTCTTTGAAATTCATATTTGAACAATAATACTTGAGGAAAATGAAGAAATCGACAAACATGCAACGAAGTGGGAAAGGCGGTGCTTTGACTGGTATCCAGCAACGGATATCATCTTCATTACCTTTAATTATTAAAATATTACTGGGAGTGGAACTAACATTAGCAGTTTTAATCTTTTTCATGGAAATTGGAATTATCGTTTGTTATAGTCTGTATGGCTCCTCATCTTCATCTTATTTTTATAGACTACAAATATTATGTTGCCACATTGTTTATTGTGCTGATATTGCATGACAGCTCAATAATCGAATAATTGTCTAAGTAGAAACAATGTTTTTACCGTAATCGAAAATAATTTGTAAAATCTATACTTTCCATAATGCATCACAAAGCTGTAAGATTATAATAAATATTTACTAGTGCCATCATCATTAACCTCGCTTTCAGCTTTTTGAAATCTCCTGCAAATTCGACATAATTTCTATATGTCTCTTATACTAAAGATGCAGTTGTCGGTCCATTGACTGCTGCCGGGATATGGCTCGGTGTATTGATGGGTATATGCATTGGATTCATATTTAAACTACGTAAGTTATTAAAGTTGATCCCACTGAAATACTTTCAAACCTTTCCACTGGAACCGCTGCTTTTCTTCTATTGAGGAGACGAGTGTTATTTATAATACATCACGATACCCCTTTTCTGTTTTATCTCTGCTATAAAAACTGATATCTAGTTCATTTTCGACACGTATTCTTATTTATTTTCTTCTTTTTTTCGACTAGTCAAAGAATTATCCGTAGAAAGATGGTGGACGATTAATGCAATTACTCAGAGCATATTATTTGTGCTTACAATTATTTTAATTGAAATTACTGGAAACTATGTCAATACACATGGTTCCACAACAAGTCTTTATTGCTCTTCTACGTCTACATCATCGGATGCTAAATATGCATGTTCAAAATATCAACTACATCAAGCACAATTAGCATTTGCTATTTTGATGTTTTTTGCTGCATTAACATTTCTCGGTTTTTTTCTCTACTTAAGATTTCTGGTTAAAAGATTTCCAGAGGCAACCACAAGTACAAAACCAGTATCCCATGTGACACGATATCCATCAACAGTCCCACCACTTTACACCTCAAAGGTGATTGTACCACCAACAAGTGGATTTCCAACTACTATACGTCAAGATACCTCAGTAACGGGACCAATAAAAGAAATTACATGTCCTCATTGTCAAGTTATAATACCACTACCAGTACCTAAAAGAACATACTAAATATACATCAATAAAATCTGTCTGAATAACGAAATCGGAATTGAACTTCGTGAGACTCATTTTAGTCAGACTGTAGATCATATTTTTTTTCTCGTTTGCGTTGTGTGATAAAGCATAAACAATTCTAAATAAATTTTATGCTGACTATATTTAACAAATAACATGAATCACATCGATTCACGCGGTTACGAAAAAGCAACATTTATTGCGGACAGCCCTTTTCCTAATCAGAATCTGGTTAGAATGTAGCAACTTGGAGCTGGAAACTTCGAGTCACCTTCAACTACCATCGCACATTGTAAAGCGCGTGAAAGGATAGCCAGCGTCAACTAAGACGCCGATCGAATGCTCCACGACCGTACATAAACGTTGAAATCGCGCTTTACAATGTGCGATGGTAGTTGAAGGTGACTCGAAGTTTCCAGCTCCAAGTTGCTACATTCTAACCAGATTCTGATTAGGAAAATGGCTGTCCGCAATAAATGTTGCTTTTTCGTAAATCTTCAAAGGAAAGAAATTGGATGATGTTCACTGCACAATAGTAGGCTAAAATTGCCTTAAGTTGAAAGCAAAGATGATAAGAGTCGAAATAAGAAATGCAAGAAGCAAATAATTCGCGGTGTTTGCTCATTTAACCAGAGTGAACTGAGAATACTTTCAAACGGTCATTTGCATTTCATATAACTCCTGTAACATTTCTTCAACTTTTCCTGCAAGAATATGAAATATCAACAAGTGACAAAAATGTAGCGTATAGCCAGATAAACGCACAGGGAACCTACCATTATCTTAGCGAATGTCGAGTACAATGTGCAACCACATATCCGTTGATCTGCAGTAATGTTAACCTATAGAATTAGAATTATGCTTACTGTGAGGATCCCACTGATACCATCACTTCTCCCTTCTCCCACGACTTCTACACGCTCCTCGGCTACAGATAAGCATGCAACTGTTAACCGTAACCGCAATAATCCTTCGAACGGTTAATCATAGCCGTAAATAACCGGTCGAAAGGTTAACCGTAACAGTAAATAACCGCTTCATAACAGCTTCGGGTATACTTGATTTTTAGTTCGTTGATATCGGTTTACATTAGAAGTAGACAAGGATGGTCTTTGTCCTGACTGTGAGAGACTTATATTTCCTTTACTTATAAGTCCTTGAGAGGTTATTGTACGTGTGCTTTATAATACGTAGTGAATGTATATTATACTTTTATTACGACCACTCTTTAAAAAAAGTTACAACCTAC